CATGTCCACAGGGGGTCAAGAGGGATAGCACACACTCAGGGTAGCCGCTGTCAAAGAACAACTCCGCAACGGGTGCTATACGCAGGAGGTCAGCAGGCAGTCCAAATCCGTTGGCATACAGTTCAAAAAACGCAACTAACCATTGTTGTTAATGATGAGCCCGGCCTGAAGCTCGAAGATCGTCTGGAGAGCCTCCGCTGAGATCGCGTTGTTGCTCTGTGACTGTGCCCACTGCGCGAGCGACGACTGGATCTTCTGGATCGATGCGGCCGCCTTGTTACCGAACAGCTGGTGGATATTCGGGTACGCGATCGCGTCCGTCGGGCCATGTCCGCCCTTATCAAAGCCATTTCCGTCTGCGCCCAGCGAGTTCATCGTCTGCTCCTGGAAGTTCTTCCCGACCGTCTTCAGGTCGACGAGCGTGGCAATCCCGAGGGGTCCAAGGACCGCCGAGTCGCCGATGCCCGAGAGCTGCAGCAGGGCGGGTGTCTGCAGAGCATTACGCGCGTGAGCGAGCTTCCCTGATAGATGACACGGAGAGCGGGTTCAGAAGCACGCACCTGGATAGCACCAGCGGCAAGGATGACTTCCTTCCGCGCAAACGCCTGCATGCGCGCCCCGGACCCGTCGGCCTTCGCGAACTCGACCCCAGAGGCTACGTGCGGAGCAGTGGAGCCGGACTGGAAGAGCACCTTCGTGACCTGGGCGACGACGTTAGACCGGTCCGGGACTTCGAGGCGCCACACAAGGCAGTGAGTCCGAAGTGGAACGGAACGCGGCGTACCTGATGCTGGGTAAGGAGCGTCAGTCCGTGACGTCTGCCTTCGACCGGGGTGTAGTACGCCTGGATGGAAGACGACCGATGATCATCGTCATGCCAGTCCAGCGACTGCAAAGAGTGAAGAGTTTATGAGAATTGTGCATGCAGGGAAGTTGGACGGAAGCTGACGCACGAGGGGAGTGATAGAGACGCAGTTCGGCGTGCCGCCGTTCAGGTCCTTGTAGTGCGCGATGCCCGTGAGGTTCACGATCGTGTTGACGAACGCCGGCATCTGCGGGCCTCCGTACATCTCGTCCGGGTATGTCACTTGCACGGGTCCGGTGGTGCCGTGGTACGACGCAATCGATTGCGCCCCTTTGGCCATCTGCTGAGCGTTCGGAGCCGAGAACGTCTCTGCCTGCATACGTCCGGATGAGGGCTTGAGCAGCCCGAGTTTGTGAAGGAGCGCACCTTCTTCATGTACGAGAACATGCCGTCCCCAGTTCCATCCTACGGACGCCTCGGAGTCCTCCAACAGACTGGACCACGCGTCGTATTGTGCGTTCAGACCGCGCGTCCAGTGGCCTCCATTGATAGAGCTGCTCCCGCCGAGGGTCTTCCCACTGCAACATAGCATGGGCAACCCGCAATTTCCCGCAAACGAACAGTGCAACTCACCCGCGCACCACCTTGCCTTTGTCGGTGGGCCACGCCCAGTCCAAGGAAGTGCCGAACGCTTGGCTGTAAGCGTAGATGCTGTAGACCTCTTCGTTCGTCCTGTCATCTCCACCCGCCTCCACGACCAAAACCTTGAGTGACGAGTTCTCCGCAAGGCGCGCCGCGACCGTAATCCCCGTCAAGCCTCCTCCCACAACGATGTAGTCATAAGTCTGCCCCTCTACCCCAGAGGCGTCGGTCGTGACCTCCGTCGCGCGCTTGTGCAAGTTTGGGCCAGCGGATGCGCTGGTGGTGAATAATACGAGGCTTGCGAGAGCCGTGAACGAGGGTCGGAGAAACATAAAGGCTGTTAAATGACTCGCAAATGCCGCGAGAGGAGAAAGAGGGGAAGAGGGGAAGAAGAGAGGAGGAAGAAACGCACTGATGTCTCCCTCGTCACCAGTAGTTAAGTAGGCTGGCAACCAAGGTCTCAGGCCTCAATCATCCGATGGCGTCGCGCGTGATGCAGCATAGAGTTTTTCACTGCTAGACGTCATTGCCGGTAACGCTTCACTGCAAAGTCGGGGGACGAGAGGCGGATCGCGCGCGCGGGCTGTGAGACGGGGGCAGATCACCGACGTCGGAATTGATTGGATTGGTCGGGGAGCAACAGGACGACACGGCATCGGGGGAGCCTCCGGTCGCACATTGATCGTAGACACTGCCTGCGCGCGCTGAAGCTGAAGGCGTAAAGCGACAAGCCATATGCTTGCAAAGTTGAACGTTTGCCACAAGGCATTTGCGACGAGCTCGGAGCCGGGAGCATAAGTGTAGCTTCATCGCCCTGACGTTTCGAAGGTCGGCATGATATTGAAGACAGTCTCATCACGACGCACCCTCATCAAATTCTGAAAATTCTGAAGAAGACCACGTGCCGGTCAGTTGAGAATGCAGGCCGCAGTGCGAGGCTTACCTCTTAATGCGATGTTCGGCGGAGGAAGGCCTAGGGAGGAACTCAGGAAGGGTATGGCTCGCGCGAGCCGAGCAAAGGAGTTACTCAAGGGGTGTCGCCGCCCTGTAGACGCAGAGGGCTCGACTTCTCCCTTGGCTAAAGTAGAGATGCATTCCATGCATCCTGATGTACGAATCCGCCGACTGCTTGCGTCGCTTTGGAAGCTGAGGCCTGAGGGCCCGAGACGAACATGGGTACTGTCGAAGCGTCCCGCCCGTACCTCGATTCCGCGACGTCGAAATCCCCATACTCACCAGCCATCCGGTTTCTAATCGAGTCATGGTTCACAAACTCCAGCAGAGATTCATGGTATGAGTCTAGGAATCGCATGAAAGGCGTCATCGTGGTCGAGGAGAAAGTGCTGACGATGGGGCGCTTGTTGAGTCGGTCTCTGACCTAGACCACATCCACCACCAGTTCACCTTCCTGAGTCCTCGTTGCTCTGTCCTTAACGAACTGCGATATGACTACTGAAGATTAACATTTTGGCATGAACTTCCGGTGTCCAGCTGTTAGAGGATCTGTCCAGTTACTAAAGTTCGACTGGTCGAGCATGACAGAAAGCTTGAAGATACGTTCTATACCTCCTGCGTTCACATCGAAGCTTGCCAGGATCCGTTGGCTTGTGCGAATGGTATACATTCCACTAAACAGACGCAGCCTACGGTACGTTTTCCCTTAGGCCCGAGAACTCCTCCGGCACGTCGTCGTCTTTGAACGGGGTCATCCCTACGGACAACACCGCTCGGCATGGCTGAATGCCTGTCGCTCGTGTCCTCGTGTAGCGGAGAAAACTCACCGTTCAGGGCGGCCTAGTGCAGTACTCACAACCTAAACGTAACTCCCCATGAATCACTGGGTGCGTCATCCCCTCCGCGAGCGGACTCCATCGGCCTAGATGCTACTTACCGCTAATGACCGTGTCGGACATTTATATGCAGTATCCTCGTCTCTGTCGTAGCACCAAGATGCGCTGTTCCCGCAATACGCTATGTAGTGTTCAATTAGTCGACGACTACACAATGTCACTATCATCCAGTACGCACCCGCTTGACCACCTTGATCCTCCCATTCCCTCCGGACCCCCAACGTCAACAGTCAACCCTAACCAATCATCATCGACATCAAGGCCGACTATATCCCTCCGCTCCGATGCAAGCGCAACGCGGTCGAGGAGCACCTGGACTCTGACAGGAATATCTCAACCTACTGGGTTCGTCTGGCCATCTCTGCCCGTCCGCACCATCTCGGAGAGAAACATCCATCTTCCACGATTAGACGTTCCAGCCAACAATTATCTGGTTCTGAGGGCACAAGACCGACCAACCGCGCAAACAGATCCGCATCGCACAACGACTAGATTGTACGCAGCATGCTGGACTCCACCTCGAGGCCTGCCGGTGTAACCTCTTTCGGTCCACATGACCGCGCCGACGTTCTCCGCCCCACAACCATACGACACATATAAAAGGAAGTGCGCTGCTGCTCGGTAGAAGTGCCAGTCTGCTCCCAAGGCTTATATAAGTACTCTCATCAACCTCTTTACCCTCGAATTCTGCACACCATGCGTTTCTTCTCCCTGCTCGCTGTCGCGGCCACCCTCCTCGGCACTGTCTCCGCCGCCTCGCTCCCTGTCTCCCAAAAACCTGAGTGCGCCCACGAGGAGGTCGTGTCCACGACCTACATCGGGAAGGACAAGAACGTCAAGGTCGAAGTCTCGCACTGCGACGACGAGCAGCTAGTCGACGCCCACGGCAACCTCGTGACGACGCTCACGAAGCGACAGAGCACCAACGTCTGCGGCGCTCCCTGTGCGTCCAACTCCCTTTCCGTTTTCAGTTATTAGCTCGCGCTGACCCCATGTACTCTTTCAATATGCAGGCAACACCTTCTGCTGGTCGGCAACGTCCGGCGCCCCTACCTCCGGCGACTGCACCGTCATCGCCGACGCCCTCCTGTACGAGAGCCAGAACACCGGCGCGCTCTTCGCCGTGTCTCCTACTGGCGTACGTGCACCGTCGCACCCTCCCCTCCCCTCCCCAATGCCGAACTAACACCCTTGACGCTCCTCCGCAGTCCTCGACGAACAAGGTCACGATGCAGTATGCCACCTGCCTGACCTACTTCCTGAACCAGGACTTCAACACGCTCACGTACTGCCGTACCGAATGGGTGAGTGCACGTTCCCCGCCCTCGTCGGAGTGAGATATTTTCAAGGCTGATGCATTCCGCGAACACAGTCGAAGCTCGTGACCTGGCTTGCGTCGGACTGCTCCCCTGCGAGCAGCTCGAACGGAGGATTGTGCGTCGCCACTGACCAGCGGTGGTATGTGCAGTAAGTGGCTGTCGCTTTTCTTGTCGGAACGTCCAATGCTAACGCAACGGTGACCAGGCTCCAGCACAGCTAAGCGTGCAGCATATGGTAGAGACTTTTCTTGTGTGAACTTTAGGACTGTAACGGATGTTATATCGGACAAACGTATGTAGCAGTCAATACCTTGTGACTTGCCGTAAAATATGATTCCTCGTGTCCTTGAGCGAAAAAGTTCCCTTGTGTATGGTAGAGAGAAATACACTGAGCGGGAGTCGAACCCACGCCGCTTGCTGAGAGAAACATCCTGTTTTTTTGGTGGAAGGCAAGCATGATACCGTTTCACCATCAGTGTACGCTAGAAGTATCTATATATAATATAGGCTGGGGTTTGTCTTTGCGCCTCTCTCCCGCTCGCTCCGTTTATCCCACGGGCTCATCGCCTTACACGTACGTTAGACATGAGTAGTAGAGACAACTGAGATGGTAAGAACCTCTGTGGGTTCCCTCGTCCTCGCTCGGGGAGGGGGTTTTGCGTATCTAGATCGACTCGGCCATCACGGCCATCAAAGTGTGTAAATATTCGCAAATATAACCTCAACTGGTGTACACAGAAGTTATTTTACACATCATACACTGCGAGATGGGTCGACTTATAGAAACCTTGGGTTCATGTATTCTGGCAGCATGTGTCCAAGGAGACTCCCAAGAGAACGGGGGGGGGGGAGGTTCATCGTCACCGTAGGTAGCGCATCTAATCTTATCATCTAACACCCTGTTATCTATCACTCTGGGTCCTTACCTTAGGCTTGGATTTGACGAGAGCATTGCAAGCCCAAAGATTAGAGCATGGTTTCTACACCAGCCTATATTATATGTAGATGGACCATTTCCCTGTGACGGCCACTCTTAGTTAGCGATTGTTTCGTTTACTTACAATTGTTATATTTATGTTTCATTCTCAGCTTACAGTACTTTTCTACTCGATTCACACTCAGTTGATCATCACAATCATCGGACTTTGGTATTACTATTAGTTGTCTGCTTGATGTCTTACGTCGGGAAAACGTGCAAGTAGAGGTAGTTGATGATAGTGCAAGATGCAGGACTGTCGCGCACGGTAGCAGTGGGTCGGCGATACCCGAGACTGTGGTGAGCGGCAAAGGTTTGTCGAGGGCGCTTAGTGTCTGTAGACCTCTGTAGAGGGGCACGGGTTGTTCGATATTGCCCTGCAAAATAAAATCGAGACATGCGAGCAATTACAGTCCAAGTCAGAGAGACCTGAGGTAAGAAAGCTAAGAGGTGCTTGTGTGTTTTTGCTGTGCACACTCGGAATGACGGTGAAGGGACAGCCGCAGCGTATTCAGCCGCAGTGTATTCACAATGCGGCAAAGCCATGCGCAGCATACATCTCGTCTATATAGTCCTCGTAGTCCGAGTCCGAATCCCCACCGTTCGCCTCCGCGAAGCGCAGCCGCTGTGCGACCTCGGGTTCACCCTCCCCCTCATCCAACTCCTGCGCGTCCTTGTCATCCTCGCTAAGCTCGTGTCCATGCCCCAAGTCCAGGTCGTACTGTCCGTATGGGCCATCGTCCATGTCCTCATCCACCCCCTCGACATCCTGCGCAATTTCCATCTCGACATCCTCCTCGACATCCTCGTCTGGCCCTGTTCCGTGTTCAAGGTGTGGCTCATCCATCTCAGCGCGCCTCAAGTCCGAGTCCAGGTCGTTCTCACCATCGCCTTGAGGACTGTGAGCCGCATCGCCATGAGACCCAGATCGCCCGGACACCGTGTCGATGTCGAGGAGAGCGCCATGCGCCTTCCGCACACGGAAACGGTGCTGGCGAGAGGTGTCTACGTCGACACCGATCCCCTTGTGTCCGATACCGCCGCCATGGTGCTGCATGAAGATGTCACGGTCTGCGAACCTAAAGACGCGGCAGGAATAATGTGTAAATATGTTAGGAAACACTGCTAGAGAAATGAGATCACACGTACATGGACACCTCGAAAAATGCGTAGTCTTGCTCCTCAAGGACCTCGTCGGCGATCGGCAGCTTGCGCGCAAGCTTTGATGGTCCGAGGAGCTCGTGAGTGAGCCCTTCTCGAGGGCATGGGAGGAGGTATGCGGCGCGAATGATGTCGTCCGGGTCGACGAAGCTGAAGGGGACATTGTCGGGTTCATGTGCATCAACGAACTGGACGCGAGGCTGTCGACGAAGCCAGACGCGTGTGTAGTGTCGCGCGTGAACCAGCATACCCAGAGGAAATCGATGCGCTGCCATTTTTTCGTAGCGTGAGTGGAACCAGGGCCGACGTATCGAGTGTTGACGTGAAAGATGCCGACAACGCGAGCGAACCAGAACGGAGTGTTGTCCCACTCCGGAGCGAGCACCATGATGTCGGCTTGTTTGTGCGGGCTGATGCAGTCTTGCTCGCGGCGTAGATCGTATGTTGTATAGTTGAGACGTAACAGGTTGTGGGGGTACATCTTGTCGTCGAGGATCTGCACGCCGTCGAGCTGCTCTGGGGTGAACTCATCGGGCTCCGTGAACATGTCGCCACCGATGAGTCGCGCAGCGAGATGTTCATAGAGGTGGGGGATGAAGCCCTGTAATGCAAACAGTGAATACAATGAGTCATTGCCCTCGATGCCCTCGTAGACGTTCTTCCAAACACGTTCGTGGATGACAGGACCAGAGAGAATAGCAGCGTCCGCGCTCGACGAACAAAGGGAGGTAATGGCGGCCAATGACGTGCAATTCTCATTCACGAACATACCTTGACGGCAGGATCGCTTTCATTTTGCGCTGTCCATTCACGCAAAGGCATCGGGTTGCGCTGTGACCGGGAGATGCGATAGTGGTCGGAGGGCGACATGGGGACAACGCGTTCCCCGGTTGCGGCGCGAGCGAGGGGTGATGTACCGGATCGTTCGTGAGCTTCAGCACGTGCGATTGCCTCCCGTTTGTCGAGCTCCTTTTGCAGAGATGGAGCAACGAACTCGTCGTATGGTCGTAGGCTGGCAAGCGCATCGGTGTTCCGCACGTTCTCGGCGATTTGCATCTCAAAATTGACCTTGTTCGTCCGGGCATGCTCGTGCTTGACATGCTTGTGCTCCTGTTCGCCCTGCCATCAATATGTGTCAGTATTTCAGGTTAGCAGCATTAGCAGACGGACTCACAATCTGCGTAGTTGTGTTGTCAGTCGGGCCTGATCGTCGGATGTACTCGGTGTGGTCGCCAAGACTGTGAAACTTAAACGTGTTAATAACATTATACTCTACCATACGCCTACCAGTGTCGCTCGGGTCGTCGGGATTCTTCCTCTTCGCGCGTCGTGTTCGCACCTCCATCTCGGACGGAAGCTCCATCGCCTCGTGTTGCTGGCATGTAGTCGATGCGAATGTCTTGATAGCTTCATACATATGCTTCGTGGCATGCTCCATGTTCTCCAGAGTGACGTCATGATGCATGCGCAACTTTGCAAGCGCATGCCAATTAGCGAGTTCGAACAGCATGTCTTGAATAGTTTGATTGTCGTCGAGCAGGAGCAGACCATCAATAACGGGCATGATGACCTGCAGAGATTGGAAGGTAAGCACCATGAACTTGAAACGAAAGGTATGATGCTGACTTACAATGAGGTATGCTTCATAATCGCGTGCAGCGAGCTTCTTGCGCGTGGACGCGTCATGCCAGAACCGTCGTATCTTGTCGCGACCCCAGGTTGGCATCGCTCGCATGCTGAATGCATCACATTAGGTGAGTGTAGACCAAACCGATGATGAACATACATACCGTCGATCGAATTCCTTGATAACGGCATCGCCTTGCGCGTGGATAAGCCGTACGAGGTGGTTAAACGTGCCTTTCCAGACGCCGAGTTCAAACTCGTGCATCAAGTCAGGCACGAGCATGTCGTAGACGTTGAAGCCGTACTGCGCGAACCGGATCGAAAATGCGCTCTGCAGAACATGAGTACACCACATCAGACATGGTGAGTAACGTACCTGGATGGGATTGAGTGACTTGTCATGTAGTAAGTCTTTGATGCACTTGCCGGCGGGCGAGAAGCCCTTGAATAGACATCGGCGGGCCTTCTTGATCAATATCTGGTTGGCGGCGTCATCCTGTCGCTTTGCAGCGCGCCGCAGGTCATCCTCAGGACTACCTGCATCAGCAATGTCGTCCATGCGCGTGAGGCATCGCGGACACATGCATAATGCCAGCGGTTTGAGCGCGGCAATTAAGATCCTGATGTGTTCAGTTAGCAGCGAGGACGAAGCCACAATTTGGCACACTCACTTCTCGGGGTAGTCCGCAGAGTATGTGAAGAAGCGAGGAAAGAGACGGCGAGTGATGCCGTCTCCGCACACGAGCAAGATGCCGTCCCGGTACGCGGCCATGAAGTCCTTGTCGAGAAGCATCAACCAGATGCGGCAGAAGAGCTCGTGTTTGCAAAATTTGAGTGTCTCCGCCGTCGGCATGGAGCCGTATGTCTTCTCGTACGCGTCCTTGATGTCGTCGGGAAGCTAAGCAAAAAAAGACATCAGTAGTAGTTGCGAATAGAGAGAGAACATACACTGGGTATATATGCAACGTGGTGCGCGGCGAACTCGGTTGGACAGCCGCGCACGTACTTGGAAATGTTCCCAAAGTACATATAAATGGGCCAGAGCTTTGCCATACCGAAGTTCGACAAGCACGTCTCGTCCGACCACAGGAGCAGTGGTAGGACGGCGTACTCGACCTCGGGGGCATCCCCAGCGATGCGCGGCATCTTGCGAATTTTCTCATCTTCGTCGAGCATTGCATCAGAGTTGTAGCAGTCGGTGAGCACCCGGAGCGGCGGTGGGGGCGAGGGCGGTGGGGACGCTGAGCGCGACGGCGAGCTCTGCGTCTCGCGGGACTCGCGGGACTCCTGCGAAGATTTTGACTGCTCCGGAGAGCCATAGCGAGGTGACTGGGAGGGCGCCGGGGTTGGTGTGTGAATAGACGAAGGACAGGGAGAGGAGGGAGTGTCAACGCGACTGCGCTGGCAGCGTGGAGGGTTCCAATACATGCGGTTTGGGATCCAGTGGTAGTCGTTCACAAACCGCGAGGCTGGGTCCGAGACGATGCCGATGATTAAGTCGAGGAGGCGGCGGTGCACTACGCCATGGATCGTGATTTGCGGAGCCGCTTCCTCAGATGCAAATGACATCTTTGTTTTGGGGACGGGCATTGAGACGGAGCTCTCGTACCACCCATGTTGTGGTACAAAGAGATCGCGGGTGTTGAGCCACTGCTCCAGCAAGCGGTCGGCCTTCTTTGCGCTGAAGCCCTCAAGATCGGAAGGCGTGAAGCCCTT